CTGATTTTCAATTACCAGAACACAAGTAGAAGAACTTGCATTGCGAGATCCAAATCCTAACTACTTCTGCAGAAAGAAAAAGAACAAAAACAGGTTTGTAGAAATAGAATGTGATAGCAGGGTCCTATGAGCATACATATAGCAGTGATGTACAAGCAACAGTCTCAGGGCTGTGCAAAGAAAGCAACAGGCCAAAAATCACAAGTAGTATTTTTTCTGAATACCAGCATATTTGTGTTGAATTTAGACCAAATGCAAGTAGTAAAGGGCTGTAGTCAAAACAGATTTTACAAAATACAGTTGAAAGGAGGCAGGGATAAATTATAAAAAACAACGGAAGACCTAAATGCAAACTGGATTGTTTCACCTTACTAAGAAAGAAAAAAAACAAAGCTTAATTGAACAAATGAATAAGAGCAATAATAATCAAAAATAACAATCTCAAGAACAATCACACTGACCTAAGGATACTGCATGGTTTCTGAAAATTATATCAAATCATATTCAAGCGATGAGTTAACACAAGACAATAACTGACCATTAAGAGTAATCTGCAAATTGTTTCAATTGTTTCAATTACTTCCTAATGTCAACAAAACACTAATTGAACTATGTGAAGTGACATTAACTTAACAGCCAGTGAACAGCTTTCAACAGCTATAAATTTAACACTATCTTTGTATCACATAATTAGTGGCAACTGTTAAGATCTAGATTAACCTGCACTTTAAGGYTGGCTTAAAATTATTTCTTTTTAAGTGACGTGGATCAATTAATACAGCAAGTAATTTTGCTAGAAAATAAATGAACACTCTAAATATTTCTATTTAATATAACAAGCCGGAAGACTGACAAAACAAAGGTCTCATCTACAAAAAAAAACATCAGTGTTATCCAGACTGTTCTGCATTTCTGCAATGTGTCACATTCTGGTTCTGAAGAAGATCCAGATGCCACATTTGCACACTCTGATGAATTTTAAGACTGGTGGTTGAAAGAGCTTTGAAATAATTTGATTTGCCTGTAGAATACTAAGTCCAAATTACCAACATAGGGAAAGCAGCACTTGTCCTTGAAATCCAGACAGGCACAAATTTGCCCCCCAAAAAATAAGCACCATGGCATTCACTCAAGAGCAAAGCTCTTATCCATTTCAATTTTATTTAAGAATTTTGCAATAAATATTTGCAAACAAGACAAAATATCAAGCCTTGATAACTGACAGAAAATAATGAATAGCCCTATTTCATGCAGTATCAGTTTAGCTAATGGTTGAAAAGAGGCACCACCTCAGTTTTGCATCTCAGAAATGGAAACATTTATTCCTATGCTATCACACTCTCCAAGTGTACTGCTGAAGCCAAATATCTTTGAAAGCATGCAAACATAAGACTTGTATGAACTTTGGAAGAATGAGTACCTTTCATTCTTTCTCTGAATTCCTTCCTCAGGGCAGGTAGTTTTTAATTTAGTGATGGGAATAGTACATCCTTTTTTCTCTGCACAATAAAAGAAGTAATAACAATTTCTTCAACAATGCCATCTGGGAAGAGAGCCAACCATCAATTAATAACATCAATAACTATTTTAAACAATCAAATTAACTTTTCTGATTTACTGCCTAATTTTCATATTTTCATTTTCCGTCCAGCTCCAATAATCACGCTGACTTAACTGGCTTGGAGGATTAGATCATCTCTAATGATGGATCTTATGGTTGAAACTTTCTATCTGTCCAGCCTGAGTCCTCATACGTAAGAATAAAATTATAAGGCAAAAACACAATTCAGACCCTTACTGAACTATTTTTGGAAACAGTTTCAATTGTCTTCAAAATGTCATAGGTATCTCCTGCGTGACATTCACCATACCATCAACTGTTAGCAACTTATTCTTTTTAAATACAGTTTTAAAGACATTTATGAACTCTAGATTTAGGGGTTTTTTTTTGAGAATTGAAGTTAAAAGTCTTGCAGACAGACATATATGACAAAAGGAAGCCACTATTTCCTATTTCCAATATAAACTAGATCATGCAGGCAACAGAAACAACAGACAAAACCATCCTCATGCACCAGGGCTTTCAAACATCACACAATGAACTCAGTTATTACAGACCAGGAGCCTGACTCCCAGTGTTTCTGCTAATGCTTTCCAATTTACTTATTCATTTTAAGGTTTCATCAGTTATAAAATCCAATTCAAATGCCCTGTTCACATCCTGCAAACAATTACAGAAATTGTTCACAGAAATGCCAATCTTGGAATGAGTWGCTGGAGACCACCTACTTTAACACTGCCTGCTCAAAACAAGGTCAGTCACAACAGGCTGCTCAGGACTGCATACAGTCCTGTTTTGCATATCTCCAAGGATGGAGACTACACCAGCTGGGTAACTTGTCCTAATGTTTGATCACCTTCACAGTTAAAAAAAAAAAAAAAGCCTTTTTTTCCTATGAAACTCTGGTATTGCAGTTAGTGCCCATTGTCCCTTGTTCTCTCACTGGGTAAAACTAAGAGGAGCCTGGATGCACTTTCTTTATATACTCCTATCAGGTATTTATACACTTTGATGATATTCCCCTCTGAGCCGTCTTCTTCCCAAGCATTAAAACTGAGAAGCCTGTAGATTCCTGGATCCTCCTTTCCCATGGTGTGCAGGAATGAAACAAATACTTCACAAGTAAAGCCCATATTTTAATCAGGAATCTTATCTCTCTAAAATCTACAAGTATAAAAACCAGCAGATTGTTACAAAAATTCATGCAGCTCACGTTAATTTTATTGATAAACAATTGCAGACTCAACAGATTATGAAACTGAAACTGCACAGGCATATTGATCAAAATAGTCCAAAAACTGACAGTGAAATGCCACTTAAACTCTGTCAAAGTTCAGCCAGTATCTGCACCTGTTACAAAAGACATTCTGTCAGTACCAAGGCATAACAAAGAACATACCCATTTTGAGACCTTCCTGCAACATAAATATATRATATTGAGTCTTTGGCTGGCCCAGCTGTGAAAAGCAATTTAACAAATAGCATGTTTCCTTGTAGTTTGGGAAACATCATGGCCCACAGGTAAAACACTCCAAAATACAGATTAAGCCAATTTACTGTTTTCCACTGCCATCTGAAATACCTGTTAGACTTACAGAAGACATTTAAGAACCTCTGAGAGTGTGTGTGTGTGTGTGTGTGTGTGTGTATGTATTCAGTCTAGGCCAAGAAATAGAAATTACTCTGACATCTTGTAATATGGTTCCTAAGAAGGTACAGAATTGACTCAAACCTTCATGGACCAAGATGCATGTTGGATACCTGACCTATCCACAGGAAAGCATTTTTCCAAGGCAAGAGAGCATAATCAATCCTTCTGAGAGTTCTTTTACTCCTATCAGGGCCTAGTCAGAGCTGAAGAGGTCCAAGAACACCAGGTATCTATTTTTGCACTCTTTCCTCTCAAAACTATAGCTATAAAGCTAATTCAGTGCAGCACTTCAATAATTAGTTAGCCTTTACTTCTGCAGGCAAAGAATGTCACCTTAAAGCACACAGCACACAACCACAAGAGGATTCTCAATGGACTGCAGGAAAATATTCCCTACTACTGAGAAGAGTTTTAAATAATGTCTTGGAGAATCYATCTGTTAAGAACCGGTCCTTGTTTGTATTTTATGCTCATTCTAGTTAGGACTCTGGGTAAAGCAGCACCCTAGTTTCCAGTGACCATGTTGAAGTCAGAGGCATAAGAGGAATCCCTCTCATTTACTATGTATTAGTGCTAATACATTTTTCAACATTAATCCTTTGAGAAAATGACACATTGATAGTCTGGGACACTAATGGGATACATTAATTGCAAGTAGTATAAGAAAAGAGGATTACTAAATTGCATGCTGGAGACAGAAAATGAGATTAAAAATGGCATTTTAGTTAAAATTCTTCAGGCTATGAAAAAAATACAAGATGATTAGTCAAGGAGAAACTAGAAAGCCCATAAATGAAAAATGCTGAGGGTCAAGGAGAATCTGGGAAAAGGGATTTATGACTAAAAGCGAAAGAGAATGAAGCTAGAAACTAAACCCAAATTTAAAGGGAGAGAGGAAGGATAGTATTTCTAATACTACAAATCTTTATTCTTCAGAGGAGAGAGGAGCAAAGCTAATGCTCAGACACTGCAGATGTTGAAGCATATGAATGACTATAATTTAAGTAATCACATGGTTATAGCTAAATACTTACTTTCTTAAAAATATAGCCAAGCAAACCAGTTCTAAAGGAAACCYCAATATCTTTGTCAGACAATGAGAAAAAGGCTTGGCTCATCTTTGCACCATAAGAAGATTACTGCAGTCTGCGTGCACAACTGAGGGAATCAAGTCAGAGCAGTGAGGCAACATTGACAGTGTAATCAGTGCCAGAATAATGTATCTCACAATGTTAAAATTCATAAGAAACTGTTCATAAATGATCCACAAGGAACAATTCTACTACCAGAAAACAATTACAGAACATTATGAAGAGATACTAGAAGAACAATCAAAATCTAGCTAAGGAAAAAAGCATATAAAAAGTAGAAGGAAACTTTGATGGAGAGCTCTACAATACAATAGGAAAAAAAAGAAGTACCATTAGACCCACTAATCCAGATATTTTTAGAGTAAAGACTTTTAGGATGGTTTCCTAAACAAACCATTGATTTTCTGTCTTTGGCTATTCTAAAGTTAATATTGCTTTTGTAAGTAATATTACCAAGGACACACCAGGGAGAATGCAACTTCTATGTAACCTGTTAGGAAGTCAGACTAATCATTCTTTTGCTACAATCTATTCTGGTAAAAATGATCCTGGGGACATCAATACCCWAGGTGAAAAACGAGAAAGCTGCATGACTCATTTTATTTTTAGTAATTACAATCTGTGAACTGCCCCAAGAACTTTTCTTATTTGGTAGTTCCTTGGTACTGCAGTTATAGTTGACCACACAACCCTTCCACCAAAAAACTCTTGGATGCTTCCGTACCACAGCTGATGTAAGAAAACATACTACAAGTAGAATTGCAACTGGAAAAGCTAAGAGAGCACAGAATGCACTTGATCTCACTGATCTTCCGCTGCTAATTACATATCGTGATGAGAAACAGCAAAGGTAGAAAGTGCGCAGAGATAAGGACATGCACACATGGCTGTGATAACATGCATTCTGGTACCATGGGATTGAAAACCCCTGCAAGATTTTGGTGATAAAAAGTTTGTGTAGGTGTGTATGTACACAATATACAGCAACCTCAGAACAGTCATTAAGAAACTACCCAGTTTCTTCTGTCTTTTGACAACTTTGTGAACTAGGGAATACAGCAGCACTGAGAGAAAAGTTTGCAATCCACAAACCAAAAGGAGCCTTCAGCACAATTTTGTCTCAAAAAACAACATTCAAAACATAATTCTACATGTCATAGCTGCACTCCAGATCACATTATTAACTCCAAATGTACTTGTACCAGAGGGATATTTCATTTCTCATGACAATTTCCCATCACCCATGGTGTAATATACCTGTACCCAGATGTACGCTGTAGCCTACGCAGTAACACCTAGACTGCCCAGCTGTTTCACAGTAGGGCTGATTATCTGCTTGAACATTACATGTGCTTGCTATTCTTACTTGTTAATCTATGTTTTTTTTATTTGTTAATCCAGAGCTGTAAGAGGAAAATTATGCCAGGGGAAGTCCTGCATGCAATTACTAGCAGGATTAGAAAAACAAGAGCAAACATACATAATCAGTGCAGTGTAGATCACTGGGCTGAAAAGTTGGACAAATAACCCATGTTTTCATACCTCTAAAACAATTCTCAGAGACTAGATAAAATTTCATTTTAAAATCTGACCAAATAATTCTATATACTTTGTATTACTTGAAGAAAATCCTTAGTGCAGAGCTTCTACTGGACTTCTGGCAACATCTACCACCAAATCATAAAGATAATTCATTAAACTGAACATTTTTTACATGATTTTAGTTAAGGTCTTCATCTAGTCCAAGCAAAATTCTTCTTTCGAATCTCCATAGTTATCAGCCTATACCTCGATCTGTGTAAAAGAAAAATGGAGCTAAATTATTTAGGAAGAAGTTTTGCATTAGTTATATTGGAACAATTCCAGAAAGGATTTTATTACCTCGTATTGAAGAACTGTCTTGGGCTGATGTTGTGCCAATCATGTATCCCATCAGCTTGTATGCCCAAAAGGTGTCTGTGCCTTTAAACCTGACCTGGAAAAAGGGGCAGGGGCAACGCGGGCAGTTCAAAAGCCGGGGCTGCTGTGCAGCCGTTTGCTTTTGGACCCCAGCTCGGCGCTGCATGAGTCCTTGCTCGCTGTGTGCCGGGGAGTTACATGTTGCCGTTTAGCTAGCTCACGTTCGTTAACATGGGCAAACAGTTTTTCCGAGGAATGCCACCCGCCCCTGCAGCTCCTGTGATTTTTCTTCTGGAGCAATTCAGCAGCCGTCAGGGACAAGCAGACCCACTCCGTCTCATCCCGGACTCCGGAAGAAGCCAAACCAGTGACAGAAAAAGCACACCAAGCCCTCTATTACATCCACAGTGAGGAGAGGACTATCATCAAGTTTTTTTCCCACTGTTGCCAGAGTGGCCATGTGGACTTTTTTTTTTTTGTTTTGTTTCTTTTTTTTTCCCAGGGCCGCCATCTTTTCCTCTGCACCACATGGCCAAGCTGCTGTGGGGAGAGGGAGCGGGGTGCATTCCTGGACTTTAAAATATCTAACAGTTACTTTTAATCTGTGTCTTGTGGACACTGTGTTTTGTTAATAAACTACTTCTTTATTCTCTACACTTCTGCCCGAACATCTATTCCATATTGGTGGGAAAAAAATTGTCAAATTTTTTCACTTCAGAGAAAACRTTTATTCTATAACTTTTTTTCTCTGAAAATATTGTCTCAAACCGAGACAAAAATGTAGATGACCCTCCTTAAAATGGGGTTTGGATTTAATTCTACTGCTGCAAGTATGGAAGCTGAGGGCAGGGAGGRAGGGTTTGGTGAACAAACATGTTGAGTTGCTTTGGGTTTTTTAAYACTKTGACTGTATTAAATACYTGAGACAGGAGGTGGGCAATTTAGGATTTAGTGATGAAAGCCCTATGGAAAAAATTTTGCTTTGCAGCATTCAAGAGTCTGACCTCTGCTGTAGCTTGTAGAAGGTAGACCAAGTCTGCCCTGTAAAGAAGTCAAACACTTCTCAGCAGCTAAATGGTATTTAAAAATATTCAATTAAATTTAGTTTTTACCACCTCAAAAAACAAGAAATCTGTAAGAGGCTAAAATGAATGTAACATTTTCCTAATCTGAACAAATGCAGTGAAAGAAGCARAACAGATGTTTGCAGGGGAATCCCCTGAACTACCTCAGGCATGGTTCTAACTGAGTTCAAGYATTCCATTTCAGAAAGCCTGCTCCATATTGTATACTTTAAACAATAGGATATATGAAGAAACAAGGACGAKCAGGAAATCACTTGTGAGAGTTTTTATACTTTTTATGTGTTTCAGTACTGTCACACATTCCAGGCAAGAAGTCTACAAATTGTGGCTGCTTTTTCCTCAGTACGTGGAAACTGTTAATCAAAGTTTACCTGTGGATCTATAAGAGCAACTGAAACCGGTATCTGTGTATTCTGTCATACCATTTCGTGATGAATTATGGGCATTTCTCACATGGCACATCTTTGACATATTTTTCTACACATATCCAAACTTTCTCTGTCATTGATTTACTTTTTATTACGGAAGAAAAATGACCCTCACCATTTCCTTGTTCTATCTTATGGATCATCTAGAGAACTCACTAGAGAATACAGGAAAAATATAATAGAGAAAAGTCTTTTTCAGGAAATTAAAGCCTSTGTAGGAAGCAGAGTCTTCTAAAGGACCTAATTTTTTTATTTACAGAGCAAATCTAAGCAACTAGATGGAACCTGAAGTCCGTTATTCATCTGCTCTTTTTTTTAAGGCAGAAAAAGAAATCTTAGTTCAAGCATTGTATCTGCRGTTTTAACTACAGGATACAGCTATTTATAGAGAATCTGAAATATTATAATATGKATATGTACACTAACAGGGGGTTAAAAAGCAAATGTTATGAATACCACACACTAATTAACTTAGTTATTACTAAGATACTTCAGCTATTACTAAATTACTAGATATATCTGAAACCTCGACAGCTGTGAAGGCAGAACTAGTATGCATAAAACACAACATCCTTAATCCTAAATMCTACAGACTTCCACATAGTTTGATACCAGCATCCCACAGATTAATTTGCAGCACAAGCAGTTTATTGCATAATATGCTGTTAAGAGCTATGCTATCAGAGGTCTAATGGAGTCAAAGGCACTTTAAACTCACCAGCTGGTCTGACAATTTTGGTAGCAATCTTCAAAAAATACTTTCAATGATACTAAAACAAAAATCATCTTTTCCTATTAAATATTACTCTTCATCCAAAAAAAAATCAGATTTACGAAGTGTAATTAGAAAAGTAAATACTACAAAGAAATTACAGGGCAGGGCCTCGCCTTTCTTGCTGTCTCAGYGCAGGCTTTTACGCCTGTTAGGAAAAGGATGCAGGATTTTAACTGAAAGTGGACTTTTTTTTTTTTTTTTCCCCTAGAAAGACAAAACAATTATTTCAGCCAAAAAAWTAGTAAACCCGCAGAAATTGAAATGCTTTCACTTCAGCTGAAATGCTCATATCTAAGATGGGTTGTGAAAGATTAAACTCAGGTTAGTTAAATATTAGCCAGAAGTTAAACTTTTCCATTCACTTTAAACCTAAATTCTGGTGCCCTGATACTGTCTGTGGCCTCTATAAAACATACAGAATGAACGAAGTCCTTGTGAGCATTGTGTCACAGTTAYAGAAGAAGCTGTATATTTGCACTCCCATCTGTGACAAACCTGGGATTCTGTGCTTTAATTTTCAAAGAAGTATATAGGGATTCTCCTGGCAGAGGATTCATGGAATTATGATTATGTTTTTCATTAAATTCCATGTGCAAGGCAATTCCAACCATTGTTCATAGTGAACAGATGAACATTCAGGTGAAAATTACACTGCAAGTGATACAGCCTCTCCAAAAACAAGTAGTATTTTTTTCTCCATTAAGAGTTATCAGGACCGCTTGCAAAATTTTCTCACACCTTTTATCCCCATGAACTCCAGTAACTTCAATCCTTTTAAAGGAGAAGAAGCATAACTCAATACCCATGTAATTATTCTCTCACCCTCAGGTGGTCTTCACTTGCTTGCCTTCCAGCCTGCACTAACTCAGAGACTTTTATGTGAAGATAAGGATCCTCTTTGATCTCCAGCTACCTCCTTGGGGACCTAAGACATCCTTTTCTGTATGAAACCACCCTGGTAATTTTGTTCCCATTGATGGTACAACTACAACTTCCTCAAGAAACTTTACCTTTGTTATTTTTTCCTTCCTCAAAATTTTTGCACTGTGCTATATTTCATTTTATTATTTCAAGGTTAAAGAAAATAAATTCATATTAAGGTCAGGAGAATGGAAAGCGATGTATTTGATATCAGACACTGGTATCTTATCAGGGCAAGTCTTCATAGAGGCAGAAGGGACTGCAGACGTGTGAGAACGTGTGGTGTGCCTGTGTTTTGGCTTTCAGATACTTGCTCAAAGTGTCTTACTGGGTTTCCTAAAAGAAGCAATATGCAACTTTAGAATTTAATTCTCCAGATCAATAAAATTTTCCCAACACTTTTGGGGTCTCTTTTTTACTTTCGGGGTAGGGGGAGGAGGGGAGTGGGGAATAACATTTGGGAAAACATTTTCACCCAGAGTCCTTTGCTCAGTTCTTGTCCCAAGAAAAATGCCACTTAGCACATACCTAATTATTTTCACATAATTTGGCCCATTTCAAATTGTTTCCTTCACTCTAAGTCTATGCCCACAATAATTGGTGTTTTATCACAGACTGAAAGCATAACACTAAACAAAGATAAAAGTAGCCTGACAGCTGCACAAAGATGTAATTAGCAACCTCTATGTTTACTTTAAAMGGTGCAACTGATGCAGAAATGTATGAATCAGATGGTATCTTCATAATATCCTCACAACACTTTCAAAGTCGATTACTGTCACATTTATTTCAGATCATTCAAGAGATGTCATTTTCCCCCTGTCTAAAAGAAAATCTGTCTTTAGGGCCACTAAGTTCAGTTTAATAATTCATTAGCAGATCCTTGGAACTGATGCCTCGCAAGATTTTCGCAACTTTTAAAAAGCTTGGGGTTTTTTCGTTCATGTAAATAATTGCGGTTTCTATTAAATTCAAACTCCACACTCTTATTTTCAATCATCTCCAAATAATTAGCCATATCAAGAACTTGACAACTGTATACATGCTGATTTTAATACGTCATGCTTATTTTAATCTTTTTTGTAACAACATTTCTACAATTTCYTTAACAGCCACTGTGATGGAACTACCTTGAAAAACCTGGTCAGTGACATAAACACACTTGGACTAACTTGGGGTTTGATTACTGATGCATTCTTGAAAAATCTAAAGGAACTCCAAGGCACAGCAGAAATTACTTAGATTAAATGGGCAAGAAATAGTATTCCCCTATGGCCCTTAGAAAATACTTTGTAGTATAGACAAAAGTTCCTGTAAAAAAAGGACAGCCACCAAACTGGTATACTGCAAAAAGCCTACTCAGCTATACAAAAAGACCAAACTTAAATCTTATTTTAAAAGGGATCTGAACTCATTAGACTCAGTGAACTCTTGGTCTTTGATCAAATATTTACATTTTCTAATCCTAAAGGCTTTTTTTCCCTGTTGCTGCACTAAACTCTCACAGAAAAGCTCACCAATTTAAATCAAAATGATACAATCACCAAGGTGAGCTACTGCAGCATCCCATCCTATTCTGACCTCTCCCATTCAGTAGTTAAGACTCTATCCTACCTTGCTTCACACTGATATCACTCTGGTGCTTTCACCTCTAGATCTGAAGGACTGCTGTAGCATAAGTGACATTGACTAGATCATATTTGACATCAATTGCAGTAAAAAAGAAAATCCCATAATGATTTTCTTCTGAATACTCATTTCTCCTCCTATAATCCTATGAATTTTTGGTTGGGAGAGAGAAAAGGTCAGTCAACAGGGAGACTCTTAAAGATTACAGATTCATCTTTTAGATCACTAAGTCTGAAATTGTTTTAGAAAGGACTTGTAACTGCTGATGATAAAAGATTTTGACATGATTGACCCACTGCTCCCCTAGGAAAAAAAACCCACTTTGAATAGTACATCAAGATCCTCTACTACTTGAACCTACTTCAGATAATAGGATATTACAACTTTAAACTGAGATATTGTCAAGGAACACAGGAAAATGGCAAGATTTAATTATGCCCTTACAATATTTTAAATGCATTAAATGGGCTATATAGGCTGGATCCAAAGATTACAGTGTTCTGTGAAAAGACTACTATTGACACGAAAGGTGTTATGAGGCAATTATTCAGTTACTTGAAATTGTTTTTCTATTTGCAAAGCCATTCAGCAGATCTGTCACTTGCAAACTCAGCTCAYTGTGCAAGAAGCAGGCGTTCAGAATTAATATAATTTTATAAAATTACATTGCCACACAGGAAATAGACATGATCTCTATTAGATCTCCACAAAAGAGTTTTGATAACTTTCCAAGACATTTGTCATGAATGTACTATGAAAATGTGGCAGCAGGAAAAACACAGATTAATTAAGAAACCACAGTGTTAAAAATCCAAGAGAAAGCAAGCAGGCATACATTCAATAGCCACAGTCAAAATTATAAAATAAGAAATCTGCAAGTATGAGCAGTCAGGTGTTCTTTCTAATTTCTGAAAGAAAAAAAAATCTGAATACTGCATTATTAAATATATTACTGTGCCACCAGACATGTTCACCTAAATAACCTTACAGGAACATTTTATTAAATTTGCAAGATATAATTGTCAAAAGCAGCCTTCCCTACTCTCTAACTGCATGTTGACCGAATTCCTGAATTATCTCAATGGACTAACAGCACCATATTGCATTATAGCAATGATTTCATTAACTTTCAATATGTTCAATGCAGCCATGAGGAGAGGGATGTTATATTTCATTCATTATATTTCATGAAGGCAATYTGACAAGGTCATTTGGTGAGATCAAATTTTTCTCCCAGTGTCAGATACTTTGATTATAACATTCTGCTGCAAGAGGTTTTGATTGAAGTAAAAGCCATATTTAATTTGCTACAAATGGCAAATTACTCCTTTATCTATCCTTGTATTCCATCTAGTATAAGTTACTATATTTCACATTATCTTTGGAAATTTAAGCAAAAGCAAACAGAAGTACAAAGAGAATTTTCTTGCAATGTATCAACCAACAGAGGTMTGTAGAACTGCCCAGCAGATATCATTTATGCAGCAGAACCCAATTTCATTGCCAAGCATGGTGCCTTAAAGCTTCCTCCTTGCTTAAAAGGGTGTAATAACTTAAATGACCCAGTTGCCTGACTCCCACTGTGACAAACAGTAAAGAAACGAGAGCTGGTCTTCGACCACCAAAGCCCAGCCTTCCCCAAAAATGCCCCAAGGATACCTAGAACTTGGACTGTAAGCTAAGCCACCGTGATATGATAAATGTGGACTATTGTCCAAGAGCTACCTGAACCCTGGGAGGAGATAAACAAAGGGGTAAGGAGTCACTGATAATGGACACAAAGAATACCCAAGAAAAGCCATTTCAACAACGCTTCGAAAATCAGCTGTGACTACATAGAAGGTAACTCTGCAGGGGGGCATTCCAGCCCAGGAGCTCAAGAAACCCACCGACTCCAAGGAGCAAATTAGCATTAGAAGCAAAGGAATTGTTTAACCAATAGAATAAGAGAACTGTGTAGCCAATGAGCTTTAATTCCGATGTTCACTGAAGTGTATAAATAGTGAAAAGCTTTGAACAACCTGGGAATGCTCACTACTGACAAACGTGCAGTGAAGCAGTACCAATAGGATGCCTCTGGATCGCATAGGTGGTGACTATCTTCTCCTTGATGTCTCTCTCTTCCTCTCCTTTATTTTATATTTCTATCTCTTCACCTCACATTCTACTGTTAAATAAAATCTGTATTATTGACTTCAGCATATGGTCTTGTTTGCACCTTAATTCAGGCAGAGGTATCTCTCAGTGACTGGATCTTAACAAAGGGCTTGCTGATAAACTGTCTAGGGGCAGCCAAWAGAGCCAGATTGTTTATGCACAGTTTTCATGAATTTAATAACTTAGGCAAAAGGACTTTCCTTCATTCTTTTCCCTAGCATTTCTCTATTTCATTTAGGCCTGTGGCTACTTTGCTAGGCATCCTAGCATCATTCTACTTCCTCAGTAAAAAGG